GTTAAGGAATTGATTAATTTCAAACAACTGGCGTCCCGTGACAGGACGGAATGGCTATTTGAAGAAAACGAAACAACGGTTTGAAAACGAAACATCGATTTCGTATTGGAATTTATCAAGTCAGTTTATGATTTATTTGATTATATCCTTTATAATTTGAATATATGGACATATTGAATTTAAAATCAGGGAAATTTATTAAAAAAGCGTACGCCACTAAGGCAATCGTTTACGATTACTGCCAATGCTTAGATGCTGAAATTCTAAAGCCTGACGTGGAAGTAATCACTCCAAGTATTGAGCTTACAGTTGGAAGAAAAATTCAACAGATTAGATGAAGTTCAGTCACAAATTTCCGAACTTTTATGGAAGGTCAAAACGAAGTGAATATTTAGCTGATTTTGACCGAATCAAACATATCGTGATAAATATATCAGTTTAAAAACAAAAGTAGAAAACAAAATGGTGAATTCCACTCCTGTAATTACACCTGGAATTTTAGAAAATTCTACGAAAAGGAACTTTATTATTATTTATTTATTTTAAATTACCAAAGTTGGAGCTTCAAAAATTCAAGGGGGAGACCCGAAATTGGTTAGGATTTTAGGGACAGTTTAAGAAGATCGACGAAGATGTAAATATAGATGACGATGACAAATTTCAATACCTATTGCAGGCAACGGTCGTTCGATCTCCAGCGAGAGAGCTTATCAGGTTCAATGTTCCGTCTTACCTTCTTCGGGAACATGCAAGGACCTGACTCGGAACAGAGAGCTTACTAAAGCTATGTTCACTAACTGTGGAAAGTAGACAGGATACACAAGAAGGGTATACAAAACCCTTTATTTTTTCTCTATTTACAATAACTTCCGTACTTCGGAATACAAAGACTCACTACTTGTGGTCTAAACGTAAGAATATAAAAATATAACTAAACTCTAATTTAACTTTAAAATAATAAACGTGGAAGATTGGCCTTATATTAACAGGAAGCCGTATGTAGTACAGAGAACTGTGAACACTACAATACGTTTAAAAATTATCAAGAGGATTAAACCTCTGGCCTGGAAGGCAACCAGCAACTGAGTAAAACTTCTTAGGTAAGCGGCCTGCTTCGACTAACTGCTTCCTCTCTCTCGCTTGGCAAAAAGCCACAACTTAAATACTTGGCGTTCGCCAGACAAACTTTGCATAAATACATTAACGCTTATAATTCTGGCCGGAAGTAGAAAATAAGAAGTGATAGTAAAGATTTAAAATAAAATAAACGTTAGTAAAACTTAAGATCCTTACAAGCTCATAGATAGTTATCCTCCCTCTGGCGCGAATTATAAAGAAGCTATCTAGCAGCTAAAATCTCGATTTGCACGAGACGAATTACTGGTAGAAATCTATGTTCGCGAATTATTAAAGTTGGTTTTGGTTCAAGCTAGCAAGAAAGGAAATATGACTCTATCCAACTTATATGATAAGTTAGAGACGCAACTCAGAGCTTTGGAGACGTTGGGGGTAAAAAGTGAGATTTATGCTGCTATGCTGTATACCCTTGTAGAGTCTTCACTACCTGAAGAAATTCTGATGGCATGGGAGCGATCTCACCAGCATAGGAAAAGTGTGGCACACACTGAAAATTTGGAAAATTTATTGCATTTTCTCCGAATTGAAGTTAAAAGTGAAGAGCGTCTTCAGTTGGCCCGTACAAGTTTTTTCTGCTCCAGACAAATTGGACTCGGTTCCAGCCACAGCAGCTTGCATTTATGCAGGAGATTCAAAGAAGAAACAGCTTAATTTTTGTGTTTGGTGTGACAAGGAAACAAATAATTCTTATGAGTGCTTTAAGCTGCACAGCCTTTCATTGGAAGTTAACGAAAATTTACTAAGAAAGAAAAAAAGGTGCTACTTTGGTAGACGGTTGCACGGATTTTGGCGATTATTTTTTGGGCGAGCGAATACGACTTACGGTAAACCCATTGCTGGACAAGTTATTTATGGTAACCTATACTTTGTTATCATTTTATTTAAAAAATAATAGGTTTTATTATGCATAAATTCCGTATTTTAAATATTATTTATGGCTTCTAAATATTAAAATCAATTAATTTGCATTTTTATTGAAATAAAAATTTATTTTTTTATCATATTTTATGAAATTTTATGTTGATGATGTAATCAATGACGTCGCCTTACTTTAAAAGTAATTGGTTTCAATATGTATAAATTTAATCTAATGTTTTAAACATTATTTTTTAGTGGATTTTTAGTGGAACAGATAAAGTGGAAAAAAGACTTTTCGCCAATACACGAAGACTGCAGAAGATGGGATTTTTCGATGAATATAATGGTATTATTAAAGGCTGGCACGAGGAAGGTATAATTGAAATAACTCTGAATAATAGTGATAGTAGTCACTATTTATATCATCAAGCAGTAATCAAGGATTCCAGTCTGACTACGAAAGTGCGACCTGGATTCGATGCATCATTGAAGGGTAAAAATGGATAAATGCTTGTGTCGAAAAGGGGCCGAATTTAATAGAAATGCTTCCAAAACTTTTTTGATACAATTCCGGCAATATGCAATTGGTCTTACTGCCGATATAAGGAAAGCTTTCTTACAAATCAATTTGTGTGCCAGAGACAGAGACTTTTTGAAATTCCTGTGGTGGAAAGATTCAAACAAAACCAAGATTGTTACCTACAGACACTGTCGTGTCGTGTTCGGCATTCCTGTTGGGAGCAACCCGGCATTCCTGTTCGGCATTCCTGTTGGGAGTCCATTCCTGTTGGGAGCAACGATTTCTTACCATTTGGATAATGCTCCCCAAGATTAGATTGAAGAAATCCTTTTATGTCGACAATTGTATAGCTAGTTTCGAAACCGAAGAAGTAGTAGGCAAGTTCAAAAAAGAGTCCCAAACTCTAATGTCTTCAGGAGGTTTTGACCTTAGAGAGTGGACTGCTGCACCATTCAAAGATAGAAGCATGACTTCCTATCAGAAGATCATTCCAATTCTGGGACTCTGATGGGACACCGAGAAGGATGAAATCTATTGCAATTTAACCTTTTTGGCATTTTCGGAGAGTGCCCACACGAAACGAATCTCTTCTGTCAGTCTCACAGAGAATATTCGACCCCATCGGATTTACAAGTCCAACTACGTTAATTACCAAAACTTATTCTGCAAAAAAAAAAAAACATGGAAGATGAAACTTTCCTGGGATGAAAATCTTCCACAAGGTATAGAAAGAGAATTTCAGTCTTGGCTCAAAAGACTATACTTCTTGAATTATAGTAAAATTTCAAGAAGACTTGTGATTGGACCCTTCGATGACCGCTCTATCTCTCTACATTCTTTTGGTGATGCTAGTAAGGTATCTTATGCAGCACGCATTTTCTTACGTGCATATTTTGAGGACAAAACTTCAGTACAATTGGTATTATTTAAATCAAGAGTAGCGCTTGTCAAAGAAGTAACTATTCCCAGATTAGAGTTGCTTGGAGCACTTATAACTACTCTGCTGTACCGTCAAGTCATTGACGCTCTTAAATTGCAAAGTACCAAGTGTACCTTTGGAGTATCTTGTCTGTAGTTCTGACACGGATCAAAAAAGACTTCCACTGGAGTGTTTTTGTGACAAATCATGTAGCTGAAATAAGGAGATGCACAAATCCGGACGACTGGCATTATGTACCAAACTCAAGCAATCCAGCTGATCTTCCCACTAGAGGGTGCGATGCCAAAATGTTGCTACAGAGCAGATGGTGGGAGTGGCCGGATTGGCTTAAAAAAGAGCCGGATAAATGGCCTCTCTCCGAAGAGTCAGAACTAGAAACTGATGAACTGAGTAAAGAATATGTTGCAATTTCCTAAAATTGCAAGGTGGGAGAATGTTCAGGAACGTGTACGAACTCAGTTAATACACAATAATTTAATATGTTCATTAAAGTGATTTTTTTGTGGCAAACAGTGATGTTTCATTATATATTACTTTGATCGTGATAACGCATGAAATGTTATTCTTTTTGATATGTTTAGAATGCTAAATAAATAAGTTCGTTGTTAATTAAAAAGGTTTTCTCTGCTAAATATATTACCATTCGTCCGAAATTATTAAATAAGTCAAGAAATTGATTAATTTCAAACAGCCCTTTTCATAATTTAAACTCAGAATTATTAATGCAATGCAGTGCCGTCCAGTCGGTAGAGTGGTTAGTGAGGCTAGTAGTTGTACCCATAGGCCCAGGTTCTAATCCCGGAGAAGGCATGGATGTTTGCAAACGTATGGTGTTTGTGCGGCAAGGGAGCTTTCAAAATGTCAAAAGCCGGAAGACCTCTCTAGAGGCTGATGGTAGGTGGTAGGGGACGATGAATGTGAAATCTCTGTACCGCTCCTCGGATGTTCTGCCTTTAAAAGTGGACTGAACTATGCAATTAATGTACCAGGATTATACCCATAGAACCATTGGTGAATGTCTGGTGTCCCTCCCACTTCTACCTGTACTTGTACCTGATGCAGTATATTTCATTTTAAATACTTTTCCGAATCTCAGTAACATTTTTTAAGAACACGATTTAAAATATTGTGACATATCCTAACACTTTATTAACAATGAATTAAAGTGAAAGTTAAAATTAATTTGCAAAATTTAAAGTAATATTAGTTATAAGAAACAAAAGGAAATTAAAATTCTGCTAGCCTGTTATAACATCACTGCACAAACGGATATGAAAGTGCCTATTCGTTCCTCGAATATAAATGCTTTAAAGCAGATGGCACCGCCCAAGCATGTCTGATTTGCGTTGAATGGCATTTAAAACTTAAAAACACATTTTCTAACAAGGTGCAGCATCTCATTGATTTTAATGCTTGTGAAAGCTAGGTTAAAATTAACTAGAAAATATTATTAGAGTGTTAAAGAATTAACATAAAATTTAAAACTTTATTTGAGTATGGGTGTGTCCGTAATAGAAATCATTTATGCTTGCAACCGTAACTACGAAAATCGGCTGCAAACCGGGAAGAAAAGAAAACAGTTTTGGTATCTTGTCCTTTTTTATTTCAACTTCATCATGTTTATTCGTCATAATCTATTTCAAAACCTGGGTATTTTTAACTATGAATTTAAACTTTAAAATATTTATGTGTATAAATGTTTTCATAACTTAAGAGAAGCTGTGGTAAGTGTAAATACTTTTATGCTTTTCAAAAAGTGTGTTTATGCTTTTCACAAAGCAGTATGTGCGCTTCAGTCATTTTATTAAATATTTTTCGTATTAAAATTATTAAATAATCATATCAGTAACCACAATTGTGTGCGGTAAGAAGCATTAACTGTTTACGTTTTTGCGAAGGAAATTTTGTGAATTATTTTTATGTGTTTTAAAATTTGATAACTACTAAGTTTTTTATTGAATCTTACATTCTTAGTTTGTTGTCTTTAATGAATATAAGACGGATATTTCTCGCTTCTTAATCACTTTAAATAATATAAAACTAATTTAAACCTTAAATGTATTCTGTAGGGAAGCAATTAAATAATTCTCGATTAAAATACATATATTATTGTTATTTTCTTTTAATCAATTGTATGCATTATTTATCTGTTCAGTGTAGCTTGATGTACAGTAAGCTATATATAGTTGTAGGTAACATGATTTCTAAATTACTCTAATGGTATGCATTATAGAAAAAGATGATATCTCTCTGATCGAGATGATGTTGTTTCCCTTTTCACTTACTGTACCGTGAGCAATGTATTCGTTGTATTTTCATTTTACCCAATATAAAATGTATTTTTTATTTATTGCTACTTTCTTACTGCATGGTATCCATAATGTTTGGAATTCTGCTGAATTCCAAACATTATGGATACCATGCAGTAACATTATGGATACCATGCAGTAACATTATGGATACCATGCAGAAGCAGGAATTCTGCTGCTTCATTTTATATAAATTTCCATGAAACCAATGATAAAAATCTACTTTTATTTTAGGATTTCAATAACACAGCAGGGAAATCTGTTTAAAATATATTTAGGTTTGTTTATATTTTTTACTGAATAAAAGTTGATAGAAATGCTTGTTGCATAGTTGGATTATAATTCATATACAAAAACAATACAGTGCTTCTTTATCAATATTTGGCATTTTCATTTTATATAGTCAGAGCTGGATTAACTATTAGGCACATGCTTAAGGCATCAAAGATAGCAGGGAGACCACAAAAAGATGCCAAACAACTCGGGAAAAGGGAACTGAAATTTTCAGATTTAACTTCGAATGCTAAACCAAGCTAAACCAAGATTGAGAAGTTGGCAATCTAGACATTGTACTATAAAATGCATGTGGTAAAATTCTTAATGAGGCCTTGTATGTAATGCTGAAGTAGATAATGTTGTCGATATAAGATTACAGGTTTAATTTCTGTATACTTTTTATACCTTATTGTTGTTACTATTTTTTCTCAAACTTTATTTTATTACCTGTTTATTTCAAATGAACTGTAATATCTATCTATTTAAATTTTCTCTTTTAGTTTTCTGAAGCTCCTGAAGTGAAAGTTTTTAGAAAATGAGTACAAAGAAATTGTTCTGGAGAGCTTTTAGCTTTTTTCATAGATTATTTGACATAGTAATACATTATTTATTTAAAATTGCTAACTTTGGTAAAAGAGAAGAATTACCACCTCTAAACAATCTTTTGCTCTTATCTTCTGCGACTAGTCTGGCTGCAAAAATAAGAAAGAAAAAGGTGAGTTTTATTTATTTTTTAGGTTGGGTTTAATGATAATTATATACTTGCATATTAATAGGAGGTGAAAAGATGCTGGAATGCTTAAGAGTAAAGAATGTAGTAAATTTCCAAATAGGATTTATCTTCATTAAATTTTGGAAGCATTTTATATGAAACAGTGCTTGTTGATAATTTATAATAAACTTTTTATCTATTTATATAATACTGTTTATAATGTTATTATCTTCATAACTTTTCTTTATTTACTAGTATCAATATTTGCAAGCAATATATTTTTCCCAGCTAACATGCAAGTACCAAAAATTGTAATGTTAAGAGAGTATTTAATCCATATTTTGCACGTAATTAAAAATTTGACTAATTTCTAGTTGATGATAAATAGCTGAAAAGGAGCATTTAAAAATTTAACAAAAATTTTGTGATCTTTTATACAATAAAACATTTTATTTAAAATATATGAAATTTCCTAACAAAAATATATAAATTCTCTTTTTTTTTTTGCTTTTAAAATGTTGACGTAAAAAAAAAAAAAAAAAAAAAAAAAAAAAAAAATAGCAGAATATATTGAACATTTTTCTGTAGTGTGGAATTTTTTTCTTTTTTTTTGGTATTCTTTAAGAATCCCATAAAATGCCATTATTTATAAAAACGAAAAACGTTGTAACAGAGTAAAATGAAAAATATTATATACCTGTTCATTTTGTATTGAAGGCAGATGCATTTCTTTAATCATTATTTAATTTTTCACAGAACATTATTTCTTGTTTTTCTGAATAAAATCCAGTCTTTATATATTGGTTTTAAATCATGTCAAATCTTGGGGACTTCACAAATAAAAATATATTGTGATCAAAAATCAAAATTGGGAGGGGGGGACTGTGATTTTATTATTGAAAGAAAAAAGGGCATCATAAAATTAAATGAAATAATAATTATATAAATCATGAAACGTCTGTAAATTTTGTAAGTATCATTGGAGAATGTTTAAATGTAGAACTGAAGAAAGTAAAAAACTGCTTATACAGTTTTCTAAAAAAGGGCAGTAACATATATAATATACTCATTTATTTTAGTGTATTTGTTTCTTAGTCAAAATACATTTATTAAATAGGTTTAACAAGAATTTACAATATTCTAATTGAATAAATATTAAGAAATGTTGCAACTGCTGCATGAGTTGTAAAATGCCAATTTCAAATAAAAATGTAAAATTTAATTTTCTGTGTTCTTTATTGCAGTTAAAGAGTTTTGATCTAGTCAGTGCATACATTTCAAGAGTCAAAGATATTAATCCGCTTATTAATGCAGCTGTGAATTATCGATATGAAGAAGCATTGGAAGAAGCAAGGAAAGTTGATGAAATGATTGCATGTAGTTATAAGACAGAGGAAGAACTGGAGAGAGAAACTCCATTTTTAGGAGTCCCACTTTCTGTTAAAGAAATTATTGCAGTTACTGGTAAGTAACATTTTAATACTATGATGATATGAACAGATATCATAAATACTTTTCAGTTAACAGGGCATCGCTTTGATGAGTAACATAGCTGTTGACGTAAATTCTAACTAGAGATAGGAGTGGCAGTCCTAAAAATACAGGAAAGAAATAAACATTTTAGCAAATTAAAAAAGTTAAAAAAAATATAGAGATTGACAAATAAGAATACATGTAATTATTTCAGTTGATAGCTGCAACTGACAGAATTCTATCTGTATGTGTTCTTGACACCAGGAATAAAGAAACCAAATAGCTATCAAGGAAAAGAATACATGAACCTTCAAATCAGCATCTGCTTGCTGTTCATGTTTTTGTTCTTCAATTGCAGTACCATTTTAATCAGTGCAGGATTTACATATAAGCTGCACAAGCTATAGCTTAGGACTCCCACTGTCTTGGGGAGGGGTGTCCAAAAAAATTAAAATACAGTATAAATATAGTACAGTCAAAAGTCGTTAATCCAGAATGATCTATAATCCGGACCTCAAAGCTACAAACTTTCTGCGTATACGTCAATGCATAATGTGTTCACGCATGCGCGTAATACTTTTTACGCATGCACATATGTGCGTGCGCATGTGCATAATACGTTTACGCATGCACGTTTAATGTATAACGAACGGTATAAGCTAAGCTAAAAATTATCTAATTATCTATTTCAGTTAATGTTACGCATGCACGCATTGAAAGAAATGTTATGCCACTCCTTATTTTATTCCTGTAAGCATTCTAGAAGCTGTTCTGGATTCTTCTAAAGAAAGATGAGTTTGTATTACTTTTTTCATTTTCTTGTTAATGTTCTCTTTCTCTCTCTCTCCCCCCTCCTTATGAAGTAAGAGTGAACATAGCTTCTTTTTAATGCCACTTTTAGACCAGTTAGAGCAAGCTCATATTACCTCTTTTTTTTGGAGGGGGAGGAAAGGAGGTAATGCTTTCTTCATAGAAAAGTCTTTTCAAGGCAATATTCATTAATCTTTTTTTTTTTTTATATTTATTCCATTATTTCAAGCATATTGTGATTTGCTAAAAAATCATAAGTGCTCCAATTCGTGAACAATGAAATTGTACACGATGGAAGCCATGTAATGGAATATAATGTTAATAGCAGCTAACAAAATATTAGAACAACTGGTTTGAGAGAACTTATTTTTCATTTTATTTAGAATAGTTCACATGGGAACAGAAATAAACTGTGGATGACAATTTTATGATCCAGCTATGAATGTAACCACTAAGTAATGTCTGTTGGAACTAAGAAAGTTTAATTGATCTGCTGACATTGAACATATGTTTCATCTCCTTAGCAAATTATTCATGTCTGTTGGTTTTTATTAATCACAAATGCCTTTGTTACTTAAATTATTAAAAAAAAGAGTATGTCAGATGTTTTTCGTTTGTTTAATATTGTACCAAATGCTGCCATAAATAATGTAGCAAAGAAAGAAAATTATAAGAATTTTTCTTTTTCTTCATCCTTCATGATTGGCAAGCTTAGAAAGCAAAGGAGGGGGGAAAATTAAATAATGGAATGTGCGAAAAATTAAAGGATCTTGTAAAATTGCTGCTCTTTGTCAGAGTTTATTAACTGTAATTAATTTATCACTGCAATTAAAAACTTGATCAATCATTTTTTCGAATTTCTAGATAAATTTAAAAAAAAAGTATATTTTTAAAGGCAAATAATTAAAAAGTAAAATTTATTACAGAAACAATTATACTACAAAGTGTGCTAACACGTACTTCAAAAATTCAAAATGAATAAATTAAATCAGCTATACCAGTAATAGTCAAAACTTGATTAATAGTATGGGAAACAAAAGAATTTTTATTTTTAAAACATATGTTATTCTTTTAACCTTCCTTGACTAGATAGAAAAGTGCTTTAAAATTTTAAAATCTGGCAAAAACAAAGCAGTATCAGTATGGCATCAACACTGTTTTGCACCATCCCATAAAATTTCTTTTGTCACGTTTTCAAAAATGTATATTATGTACCCTTATAAAATATTAGCTATATTTTTTACCATGTATTTATTTTATCAGCTTTTGATTTTTTATAGTGATATTTACATTTCAACCTCAATAAGCTGTTATCAAAAACATGAGTAAATGATAGAATTAGGAGTATGATTATTTCTTAATATCATTTGTATTATTTTTAATCTTGTATATAAAAGTATAGGCATGTTTATATATATTTATAATTTTATTTTTGTATCAATTAAATAATGTCCTTGACACTACATTAAAAAGTTAAAAATATACAAAAGTTTAATGATTGAATAAATTTCTTTCTGTAGGTTTGCCTTTAAGTGCTGGTTTGGTATCACGTAAGAATGCAAGATCTGGATATAATGCACAAACTGTTCAATTAATGAAGGCTGCAGGTGCTATTCCTTTTGTAACTACAAATATTAGTGAGCTTGGGATGTGGTATGAAGCATATAACAAAGTTTATGGACGAACAAATAATCCCTACGATACAAATCGCACATGTGGAGGTAGTAGTGGTAAGTTGCTTTTAATAAATGAATTATACAATGGGATATTTAAAATGGTTTTTATAAACTGAAATTCTATTTTTCTTTTTATTCTACTTATCTTTTAAAGGCTTAGCTATTGTTATTTTATAGTTTTATATATCTCCGGTACATAATTAAATGCTAATGGCTGCTTAATTAAAGTACAAGTTAAAGATGGAATGCATCATAAAAATGAAAAAAATATCTAACATATTTAGACAAAATAAGTTAGCAAGTAGATGAATAAGCTTAAAATGTCTGTATCAATTGCCTGTCTTATTTGTATGACTAGAACCTGTAGTTTCAGGTAATATTTTCAGCTTGTGAAAAATCCATTGTAGCAAAATTAATAAAAATCTGAAACCATATTGGCATATTTTCTATTAATAATTAAAGGTAAAACTGGCATTTGTTTATTTTTTAAAAAATGTATTTAAATTATTTAAGCTTTCAGAGTCAGAATGTAGAATTTAAAAAATATTATCTTCAACTTTAAAACTCAAAATAGGCGTTATTAAAGCCCTTGCATTCACCATAATATAAGTTTATTTTATTATCTTTCCTAAACACGATTTTAGAGATGCTGTATTCCTGAATTTTTGTTGAGAACTGATTTTTAGATACTTTTCCCCCAAAGCCATACTGGTAATTTTTTTAAATTATTATGATTATTATCGTATATTACCTGGATTAGTGGTCTTGGGTTTCAAAAGTGGAATCTTCTGTATGCACTTATGTACAATATGTAAAATCTTCAAACTAAACTTTAAGATGAGAATATTCACGTACACAATTTTATGTGCCAAAATAATATGCCTGCAGGGCACTTGTATTCTGAGAACGCAGTATAGGTTTGCTCCATTAAATAAGCACAGATTTTTTTTTTTTTTTTACTTTTAGTCATCCTACTAGTAATTTTTGCTGTACCCAATTTTCACCATGGATCATTTTTTCGTTTATATTGCGAGTGAAATATCAAACCTTAAGGATACAAGAGACAAAGGGTTTTATATCCGCGCAAGAAGAGAGAAACCGTAGTTTCTTCCTCAGATTCTGCTGTTGATTCATGTTGAGTTTCCGCGCAGCCCTGCCGTTAACATCCAGTGATGAAACATAAGTAAATACTTCCTCTGATACACATTTCAATGCTGATGAATTTCCACTTCTGGAAATGAAAGATTCAAAAAAATGATGGCACAATAGCCATAAAAATGTCACTGATTATTTCAGCAAGTACAAATTGCCTGATGAATTTTTGGACACCGAACTGAAAGGAGATATCACCATTGGTCACAAATCTAAAAGATTCTGAAGGGAAACATACAAACCCAACTGAAAAAGATTCAGGTTAAAATTACTCATCCCCACTAGGCATCAACATGATCAATGATGAACAAGATAAAAAGACCTCAAACCTGGATGGGTTCAAGTACCCAAAGTGCTTTGCAAGTGTCTCTCCAATCACCATTCTAACAATTCAGCAAGAAATGGATCCTAGTGATGCTTTTTAATGAAGAAAATCCTGATGATCCTCATTAAAAAAGAAAGCTCAGTCTCATCAGTAGCATTTCTACCTCTGTTGACACTGATAAAATTATGCTGGAACTCTTGGAGTTTGGTTATCCAATAAACATTGTAAAACAGGTGGTCAAAACAAGCTTGAATTTCTTCAAAACCTAAAAATCAAAGGGCAAAAACTACTGCGGCCATAAAGGCCCAGTTCAGTGCTTTAACCCTCTCAACGTTATGGCCAGAAAATTCCATATAGAAGGCTGCCTTCTATATTCATTACACATGAAAACTTCCGCTAGCTTTTAATGTATCTGATTTCAATTTGGATGTACATTGGAAGAAAAGGAATCAAGGTATAAAATGAGAGAGTCATTTTTTAATTAAAATCAAGAAAATATCACTTATTCATGACATTTTGAGGAACTTGGATTTTCAATTTCAGGGCTGAACTCGTAATGCTGGTAGGGTTAAATGTCAAGGTTTTCATCACTCACAGGCTGTCTACAACCATGACCCTGATTGTTTGACGTGTGGTCATGGACATTTTCCCTAACAGTATGAAAAGCCTAAGGATGTTACACCTAAGAGTGCCAACTGTTCAGTGCCTCACACCTGCAGCTTACATGAATGGGAGAAATTTCCCAGAAAAGGAAAAACTGAGTTAAAACCTACCAAGAACAATTTGTTTCAAATCATATGTTTCTGCATTAAATCCAGCAAATAACCCCAAATGTCCCTCAGGAATTGTAGAAACCAGAAACATTTTAGAAGATTTACAAACCTTTGCATTTTTCATCAAAAGCTTGGGTATCTCAGAATTTGCAGCATTGCAAAGATTAAAGATGCAGTAGTGCCTGAAACAGCCAAGCAACTTTCCACCATTCAGGGATAAGTATGACAAATTTGTGCATTCTATCAAAATCATGGTGTGGGATGCCTGCTGTCTCACAAGTATATTAAAATTCCCTCATTTTCTGCTGGAATATGAAACAGACATTGCTTTAATTACCAATTGTTTGCAGATACTTCTCCTAAAACCAAAATTGTGAGCTACTTTAACTACTGCTGTGACAGAAAACACCACAGAGGCAGGGAATTGGTAATTTATATGAAAAGAACTTTACATTTGTCCTTTGTGTTGCCTGATAACTGCAAAGGCTTTGAATTAGCAGTGATATTCATGACTCCAAAAACACCAAAATATTTCTTTAGTGTGAACATGGAAATATTTCTTAACTGTAATTTACAGTCAACCAAATAATAAACTTACTGAAGAAGCTCTTCTCGACCTGATTCCTGACAACTCCTGTGTGATCCTCACAGGCAACCTGAATGCCAGATATGTAGATTAAGCTCTAACTTCAACCATAAAGTTCTCCATCAATTCATTCAGTATCACCCTTTTGCACTTTCTGCACCAGAAAAAACTACTTACAACTGCATCTGCCTGTGCATAGATATTGAAGCTTATTTTATCTATTAATTCCCATGGCTGTTGAAATGAAAGTGTAGCTCTCCTGAAAGCACATCCTGGTTCTGGACACAGACAGCTACTAACAATGTTTCCTACATAACTGACTGGAGATTATTCCACTACCTTTTCACCACCAACCGAAGTTTATGCCTCTCAGCATCCTTAAATAAATTGATGCTGTAGTACATGATCTCACTGCCAGCATTACACAAGCACACTGTGTAGCTACCAACACCATTATTGCTGAACAAAAACTTATATAAAATTCCTACTGGAACTTCATGAGACTATTAAACTAAGAAACCATCTTAGGAAAACACGGCAGACAACCTAAAATCAGATGGCAAAGAAGGAGGTGAATAAACTCAACAGAGTCCTAAGGAAACTCATTAACAAATGTATAATTGAAAACGAGAAGAATAAAATCACCAATCTCAAAAACACAAATGGATCCTTCAGGAAATTTATTCAGCATCTGAAACAGAAGTCTTCTAACAACACACCATTTCAAACTGGAAACCACTTTTGCATTCTTAGGTAAAGAAAAGGCTTATGTTTTAGCAGATTACCTAGAAGATCAATTTTCACCGAATGTGTTTCCCTGTGATCCTCTCTTCATCGATGAAGTTAACTACAGTGTAGAATCCTGGTTAAACACTACAATGGCAAACAAGTGCATTCAGCTGATCAACCAAAGAGAGGTTGCTGAAATTGTGAAAAACCTTACAAATCTGATGCTTAGAAATCTCCCCAGAAACTGCATAAATAAACTAAATGGGTTTTTTTTTTTTTTTTTTAGTACTTGTTTAGCAATCTCGCATTTTCCTACACTGTACAAAATGGCAATGATTACCCTTTTGCAAAAGCATGAAAGGAATGAAGGATACCATCCAATCAGTCTTCTCACAGGATTCGGTAAAATTTACAAAAAGGTTATTTACTGCAGGTTGCAACACTACTTAGAACTCCTTCCAGATGAACAGTTTGGTTTTTGATGAAAGCTCTGCACCATGAAACAACTAGTCAGAATAATAGAATTTGCAGGAGCAGTGATTTATAACAAAAGTTGTCTAGTAACCTGCTACTTGAAGTGTCTAAAGTTCTTGGGTAGAATATTGCATTATGGCTTAATTTAAAAGCTCATTCAAGTAAAAATTGACAGAGAAATTATTATACTAATTTTATCCTTCATCAATGAAAAGAAACTGTGTGGTTCATCAAGGTAAGGATTTCTCCTCTCTCTCTCTCTTTTTTTTTTTTTTTTCTTCCAGTCAAAGTGAGCATACCACAAGACTTGATCCTGTACTATACCTTCTCTGTGTGTATGGCTTCTCGAAGCTAGGAACAGATCCAAATTCCTTCTTAGATGACAGAATGGTAGCAGTTAAATCATCAAATCCAAAACATGCGCTCTTTAGACTGCAAGCAGAAATGATTGGTAACAAAAATTGGTATCAGCAATGGCATATTCCATAAATGCATCAAAATTGTAATTCCTTCTTAAACCTGGAGGCCACATGAACTGTGAAATTAAACTCTTCAGTGAAACTTCCAAAAGTCAGAATGCTGAAATACTTAAGAATTCTACTTAACCAGTCTTTCATATGGACTGATTATATAGCATACAGTGGCTCCCAAAAGTGTTCGTACACTTATGATTTTCATTGAAATAGGGCTCTATCCATTAATTAAAAGTAAACTTTCTGAATGAGATTTTAATAATAAGATCTATAATGTATTCGTAACAAAATTACATGAAATATTTTTAAAATATAGCAAAACTTAATTTTAAGAAATTAATAATAAAAAAATGACAAACATTTTATTTCACAAAAGTCTTCGTATACTTCAAAAAGAATCTTGACATATTAGTAAATATTTTCATTTTTTGTTAAATTAATATTACTAGGATATCCTTTAGCATCCACAGCAGCTTTTAAACGTCTGGGAATAGATTTTACTCATTTTTTTTTTTTTTTTTTTTTTTTTTTTATAGCAATGT